AGAATGTCGCGTGGTAAAATCCACTTCTTACACCAAAATAGCATCATCGTCCCGCAGAGGCACAACCAAGAGCCCAGGACCCTCCCGGCGAAGCAAGTCCCCAGCCTCCACCAGCTCAGGTAAAAGAGCCTCCCTCCCAAACCACCGCCTGGCTTCTGACGCAGCGGAGGGTATGGGGAGCGAGAGCGTGAGGTTCTCAAGCGGGCGTCAATTCTGGTTTATAATTTTAGAACATGTTCAAACGGATGAACAGATTTGCCTAAGTCTAGCATGTTGGCTGTAAGAGAAAAAAAATTAAACTTAGAAAAACACACTTACTGAGACTCAGGAAATAGAGATTTGCTCCAAATGGAAGCATTCCACCAGCTGCTACAGCTTCTACCTGGCTCAGCTCTCAGGGTCTAGAAATTTCCACTGGGGCATTGATTCTACTTGGGGCTGGCTTATGGGGGGTTTCCAGTTTGTCTTTGCTGAGCATGTTTGTGTTTCTCATGCTTGTGACAATGGCCTGTGTTAACTTATATGGCTCTGAGGCTAAAAACAATGAGATTGGGACAGGCAAGGTCTGCCACTGAAGTGACCCTGGCTGGGTCAGACTCAGAATGGACTCAGATGTTGGTGTTGGAAATGGCTATGTTCTGAGATAAAGAACATCTCAGTCCCAACATCATCTCCTTTGATCTCTTAAATTAATTAATTTGTGTGTGCATTTAGGTTGTTTAATGTATGCTGTTTTGGCATTATAACTTTTTATTATTGTACACAGTTTTATTCATTTATATATGAATTTCATCCATCTTCACTTCCCAACTTCCTCTGGTCTTAAGATAGACACAAGTTGGTCGGGTGGCAATGGTGCATGCCTTTAATCCCAGCACTTGAGGGGCAGAGCCAGGCAGATCTCTGTGAGTTCAAGGCCAGCCTGGTCTACAGAGCAAGATCCAAGACAGGCACCAAAGCTACACAGAGAAACCCTGTCTCAAAAAACAAAAAAAAAAAAAAAAAAAAACCAACAAAAAAACATGGCTGGCACTTAGACAAGCTCACAGTTCATTATTGCTGAGTTTAGGCATAGGCAGAGAGCTCCTTGCTTGCCATAGTTTATTGAGGTAAAATAGACCCTAAAATAAGACTTTTCAAAAGTACAAGACTCAAAAGTGTAGAGCTCATGAGAGTTGCTTGAGAAGAGGCAAAGTTTGACATGATGATTCCCATTCCCTCGGCTGCTAAGGATCTGAACCTCTGCTTTAGCAGTCTTTGGGGGGGGGGAGGTTCAATCAAAGAGTCCATGGTCACATTTCAATCAACAGTGAGGGCTGTGGTTCTCAGCCTCATTACCACCACCTGAGAATATGCCAGCCATATAGAGCCTTGAGCATCATTTCAGACCCACCGACTCAGCAACTCTGCAATGGGGCCAAGCAGACTTGAGTTTCCAGAACCCTCCAGGTAATTCTGATGTATACCACTGGATTCTGGTAACTGAAAGGAAATACACAGAGAACCCATTTGACTCTGAATAACTGAGGAGGAAAGGCATGGCTTGCTGATCTTTCTCTCTTGACCTCACAGAGATGGATTCCTGTCTTCATCTTCCTTGTCTACAGGCTGTCATAACCATCCTTAGTCCTCACCACCATAGCAGACCTCTAGGTGACACAAAGCATGGACAGCCACTTTACCATTGTATAGCCTAGTTACAGACACTGAGATGACAACATGATTCTGGACCTGCTGTATTTCAGACTCCCCTGGGAAAGTTTAGCTTGTCCGCTATTTGGTGACAAGCTTAAGGGCCTGAGTTCAAATCCCTGTGACCCACATAAAAAAGCCAGGCATACCCACATATGCCTGTGACCCCAGCACTTGGGGACAAACATAAGCAGATCCCCAAAGCCAGGTGGCCAGCCAGCTTTGTTGAAACAGCCTAACTTCAGATTCATTGAGAGTGGGATACCTAACATCCTTCTGGCCTCAGCATGTAGGTATGCATGCTGGCACACACCTGTACATCACACACATGAAAAGAAAGACTATAATATGAACTGATTTGATTTAAATAAGGACCAGTAGAGTTTAGTTTGCCTCCGTATTGTTTCATAATGTGGAAAATAGGAGGAAAGCAGAGGTATCTAACTTGAAACTGCATTGTTTCAATCTTCCCAAAACCTGGGAATTTCCAAATGCAGACCTCATCTTGGATCTCTTACAAGAACATTGGTGTTGGGGTAGGGGGTTTGTTTTAGAGCTTTTATTCCATGGAAGATACATAGACAACTTCTTTTTGTCTAGTTACATCTTCTTCTTTGAATCCCTGTCTTCATAGATTATCATGGCAAACATAATTGAGCCCCTCCCTACCGGTGTCTTATAAGCCTCAGGTCAAGCATGAACGAATGCACCACCCCTACCTTCAGAAGCATACAGTCTACAGAGTAGTTGCTCTCAATGTCTGCTGATTCTCCATTGCCAGCTCAACCAACCATGAGCCAAAAGTACTCAGGAAAGAAATTGCATCTGTACGAAATATGCAGCTTATTTGGGGGTTTTTATTCCCTAAGTAATGTGATATAAGTGCTGTTTATGTCCTTTTATGCCTTGTCATGTATTGTAAGTAATCTAGAGCTAATCTAGCAGTTATGCACAGGTCATATGCAGATACCATGCTAGTTTCTATGAGACTTGAGTACCTATAGATTGGGGTATTCATAGGAGGAGCCAGCCAACACCCCTTCCCCCAAGAATATTGAGGGACAACTGCATTGCTTCTGTTGTATAGAAACACTCCTGGCAACAAGTGTTCAGTAATGAGCAGGGACTTTCTGTGAAGGGTCAGTGCTGAGTGCTAGAGATGTGAGGAAGAAGAGTCAAAAGAGAAAAGCCTTCGCCCATGAATTTCTCCTGTGACTGAAGCACTATTGCATACGCCCCAGGCATCACATTTACTTATATGTGACTCCAGAAATCCTGGTCTTTTTACTTATGCTATTTAAATTTTACATTTTTACGGATGTATAAAATATTTTATGCAACATATGCAAAGAAGACCAGAATCAAAGCTGGAGAAGTGTAGAGAATTTTAATTAGCTCACAAGACTAATTTGGCAAGTTCTTTTGATTTCTATCAGACGCCTTCAAAGGCAAACTGCTAGCTATTAATCTTAGCTCCATCCTTTCTTTCTGTGCGGAGATTCAGCTGTCTGCATTACAAGAAGGAGCACTTCTGCTTTGAGGCTCCAACAGAATTATTGGAGATCAAATTTACCAAGAACCTAGTGGTCCATCCCTTGTTTTGTCAAATTTTCTTGTATTTAAAGCCTGCCCACAACTATTCTCTTCTCAACCATTCAGTACTCACCTGCAGTGGGGTCCCTAAAGATATTCTTCATAGCTCTGAACCGTTACCACGACTTAATGTTTACTTGGGGATAGTGTCTTGTACCAACTGCCTCGTACAGCTCCTCACTGTTAATGCCAGGTTAATTAGACACTTCCTGAGCGTCTGCCACATTCCAGCACGCCTTAGGCCCCAAGGAGACAACAACAATTAAATTACCGTCCTTGACAAAAAACTCATTTGTATTCTGGTGTGTGTGTGTGGGGGGGGTACTGTTATGGTATATTAAGTGTCATGTGGTGATGGCCCAGAGGATGGAGAGGGCAAGCATCATTAACTCAGTCAGAGGAAGTTTCCAGGAGTCTAGGATTTATACATTGGCACTGGAAGAATCTTACTAGGATACACAGGGCCAAGAGGATATTTTCTCCAAATTAAATGAAGGCAAAAAGCCATGAATGTATAAGGAACAGTTGTCTGTTGAATAAGGAGCTGAGCATGGTGGCACATGCCTAATAGCCCAACATTCAGAAGGCTGGAGGAGTGTGCAGCTATCCTGAGCTACACAATGAGACACTCTGAAAAACAAAATCACGAGTAGAATTCTAGAAGGGTCTGGAAAACATGCAAAGTTACATGTCAGATTGCACAGGGCTGTGAAGGCACGTTTCTTGTTGTAGGTCTTAGGAGGTGAAAGAGGTCTTTAGAAGGGCTGTCAAAGCTGAGTTGAACAACAAAACGCCATCTTAGAACAATTCTATACAAAGGGAGGAAGGCTCTGGAGGCTTCTTTAGTCACCCTGGGGAGAAATCAGCAGAACAGACCTGAAACCTTGTTAGAAATGGAAGAAAACTTCAAAGGGCTGTGAACCAATGAATTTAGCCAGATGTGGGAATGAGAGCAACTCAGAAACAGGTTCCATTTGTCCAGGGGGGCAGGGGTAGAGTTCCACTTTGACATGAGAAATGCGTGATGCTGTGGACATGTCAGGAAGCATGAGTGACTGCTTTAGTAAGGAGATTTGAGCTGAGAGCGTAGACCCTGGCAGAAAGCAATTGTTTAAACAATAGAAATGTAAGGCTCTTCTGCCTCATCTAGAGATTTGCAAAGATGAAAATGGAGCCGTGAGGAACATCTGCCATTCTGAGAGTAGATCAGAGGAATATAGAGAACTATGTGAGGGAAGTAATAGCTCAAAATTCAGGAAGCTGGAGGTGGAGGGCAAGACAGAGGTGGTCCACTCTAGAAGCCAGATAGCAAGGAGTTCACAGGGGCTCCACAGCGAGGATACAACTAAGGAGCAATTGTTCAAGCAGGCAAGACCACATGGCTTTGGGGGCTTGCCTGGGATGGTTCGCCATGATTGTATGACTAAGTTGCCGAGTCTGGCTCCCAGGCTGAGGTGGGAGGATGCACTGCCTCAGTTGGTGGCAGGAGGCTCAAAGGGGCTTCTTGTCCTCAGCCATGCTGACCCATGATGCTTGTGGTACCTAAGCTGCTCTCCACAACCACAGCCTGGGATCAACGCTTAGAAACACAAAACGTCCATCTTCTAACATATCGGGTTCATGGTACCTTCTGGGTGGATGCTGACTGCGTGAGTGAACTGAGAAGTACTTGGAACTGTGGAGGTATCATATAACACATTCTCATAAATACGTACTTAAAAATGAACTGGCAAGGCCATGTCTCCTTTCCCTTCACCTCGACTCCTGGTGATCCCTCCTTCCCATCACCCCCAGCAGATGGTCTCTCTGTAGCCATCAAAGCTCTATCTCACCTATGAAGTTAGAATTGGGAAATTCTAATTCTAGGTCTAACCTAAATTCTAATTCTAACCTGAATTCTAAATTCTAATTTTAAGCTAAATTTTAATTCTGAATTCTAATTCTAACACTATTACAGCGCCATCCTTGTTTTTCATGAGTCAATATGATTTCTTATTCTTCTTTCCTACTTCACCCTGATAATGTGGCATGCCATGGACACAGGGCAATTAGCCTCTGTGCCCAGGAAGTCAGGGGCAGTCTAAGGCAGGAGCTGGAGCCTCACCTGGGCAGCCACCCTGGGGACCTACAGATACACATGCATTTGCCTCCACTTCCTTCACTGATCCTGGCCTTTTCAACGCCAGAGCTAAATGACTTTTGTGGTAGAAGATGACAGGGAGATGGCCAGTGGAGTCCATGCCACCTGTGGCCATGCGGCAACTAAAAAATAAAGGGAAGAAAAGGACAGATCAGAACTTTTCATCACAGCAAACAGCTTGAAACTTACATACGCAGTCTGACGGGTAAATGGAGCAATAACTATTAAAGCTATCACTTGGACATTTATTTTTACTTAGAAAAATTCTATTCTGAAGCGACTGGTGGCTCATACTATAATCTTAGTCCTCAACAGGCTGAGAACACGAAGATCACATTCCAGTCCAGCCTGAGCTACTTAGCAAGACCCTGTAGCATGAATCTTAGAAGTTCTTATTAATAAAATCAAACCTGAGCCAGGTATTGGGGTGAACTGGAAGATCAGATGCAGAACAAGCCACAGCTATCTCACCTTGCCAGTTCCTCAGCTGGTCCTGTTTCGTCAGACTGGAAGCCTCTGAGTCCTCATCCAGAATGAATCTCAGCTGAACTGTGCTGCTCCAAAGCCTGAAGGCTTAACCAGGCCAAATGCTTAACCAGCCAAATGCTTAACCAGGCCAAATGCTTCTAGTTTCTGGTCCTCATGCCTTATATACCTTTCTGCTTTCTACCACCACTCCCTGGGATTAAAGGCGTGATGAGTCACCATGCTTGGCTGTATCCTTGAACACATGGATTTCTGCCTCTAGAATGCTAGGATTAAAGGCGTGTGCTACCACTGCCTATCCTTTATGTTTAATATTGTGGCTGCTCTGTCTCTGACCCCAGATAAGTTTATTAGCATGTACAATATTTGGGGGAATACAATACCACAAGACCCTACTGAAGTAAAAGTAATAATTTAATTTTTTCGTTATAATTCATGAAATTGTAAGTACTATATTCTCATTACTAAACATTTTTCTAGTTTTTTATAATATACATATTTTTGTACTCTGGTAAGATGTTGATAAAACTTTCTGATTGACTTTTTGTTTGAAGGTAAGACAAAAACTTTAAATGCAAATACTTAGTAAAGAAAAAAATTGAGGAAAGTCCTGAGGGTCAAAGGGAGCTACAGGTATTTGCCTTTCACGTCACAAACATCTTCAAATGTGCATAAAGCCTTAAGAAACCATGGCAGCTATTTGTTCCTGCCTAAGCTTAGTTATTCCAGCAAACAACGGGTGGAGGATTCCAGCTGAGGTGATAGTACCTATGGAGTGGGTTTGCTATGTAGCTTCTTTTAACATCTCTTACACTGTAGAACACCCACAGTGGTTTATATATTCTCCTTCTATCCTTCCTTCGTGTCCACCTTTTATAGCAACATTTAGGTCTGGGTTTCCAGAAAAGGAAAAGACAGATCGAAAGTCCATGTGCATTCTGATTCTGGTCCAAAGAACTGACTTAGGGCAGACTCACCTGACCACTGATGTTACTTCATGAGACCTATGTGTTTTGAAATCATGCGAGTCTGTTCAACCCTCTGCGTCCTGCTTCTCCTGGAGACAAATAGACACCCTCAGTTGTCTCCTGTACGGACTTCTCAGCCATGCTCATCACTCTGCAGAAGTGTTAGGTTTTTTTCCTCCCCGATTCTCATTTTAATTCCTGGTGATTGCAAACTCCAGTGTGTAGTGATTCTAGCTGAACACCCTCATGCCTTTCTGCTCCCCCGGGTCTTCTCACATGACCCAGGGTTTCCTTGATTTTACTGTGTGTCTCAGGCTGATTCAAATACGATTCTCCTGCATCCGTTTCATGACTGCTAAGTTTATAGGCTTCTACCTTCATACCTAATTTTCCAAAATTTTTATTTATTTGCTTAAATATTCCTTGAGAGTTTCATATATGTATATGATGAACTTTACTCATTTTCAGTCCATTACTCTCTGTCACCCCCTCCCCCTCTGCTAAAACCCTTCTTCTCCCCAAGTTCCCATCCTGCTTTTACATCTATGTATGTGTGGCCCGTTATGTTAATTAGAGCTGCTCGCATGAGTGGGAGTGGGGAGCTCTTTACTGGAGCATGGAAAACTTACCCATGACTATGTAACTGAAGAAAGTGATACCCTCTCCCCTAGTAACCATTAACTGTCAGTCGTCCCTCAGGAGGGCTGGGACCTCACAAGACCTTCCCTCTTCCATGACGAAATGTTGACAGGCATAATCTTGTGCAGGTCTTATGTGAATAACAACAGCTGCAGTGAGTTCCTGGGTACCACGTCCATGTTGTGTCCAAAAAGTACCCTTTTGGCACTTCCCCCACCCCCATCCTCCATCTTTCTGTCTTCTCTTCTTTCTGTCTCCTCCTCTAGGATGTTCCTGAGGCTTGCTTTTTTAACCAGTTATGAGTCCCTCCATTAAGCACAATAAGAAATTTCTCTGAGGAAGGCTGAAAGCATTGCATATATATATATATATATATGACTACTTAGACTGCAATTCCATCATGTGTCTGTTAGCAAAATGATGGTAGTGGGTCCCCCACCCCCCATGGCCTACAGTTTCTCTGGCCATCAGCTCTTGATTCGGTTCACGGTACCAGACAAGAGTTCCTTCCTGAGGTATAGCCTCTAATCCCATTAAAAAGTAGTTGGTTATCTCCCGTAATATGCATGCCACTATCACACAATAGGCACACCGTGCCAGGCTTGATCTTATTGTAGCTCAAAGGGTTCACAGGTGAGTGATGACTTTTCTCCCCAGCAGCCTGCATAGCACCTTCCAGCACCATGAAAGCCAATGTCTTAGTTACTTTTCTGTTGCTGTGAGGAGACGTTATGACCAACATCATAGAAGAAAGCATTTAATTGGGAGCTTGCTTACAGTTTCAAATGGTTCGTACATGATCATTAGGGCAGAAAGCACGGTGGCAGGTATGGTAGACAAGCATGGCATTGGAGCAGTAGTTGAAAATGCACATGCTATTAGCAAGATAGAGGCAGAGGTGGAGAGAATGGGCCTGTGGTAGGCTTCTGAAACCTCAAAGACCAACCCCAGTGATGCACCTCCTCCAATAAAGCCACACCTCTTAATCCATCCTTACTAGTTCACCAATTAGGAACCAAAAGTTCAAATATGTGGGCCTAGGGAGGCCATTCACATTCAAACCAGCACAGCTTGCTACCCGTAAGGAAGCTTCCAGGTCAGATCCAGCTTGGTATACCTATATTCAGCATCCATAGCAAGTGATATCAGCAACAGGGTTTTACCATCAAGTTCCAGAGGACAACCAAGTCAATGGCAATAGCCTGTATTATTTAGGGTACCAGTGGCTCTTCCTTAACCAACAGCTCCTGGGAAAGACTCCATATCAACACTAGAAGTTTTGTTTAATAACCTATAGCTTCTTGAACGAGCGTTAGCCCCTACCATGCTCTATTTGTTTCAGCTTTTTAAAATTACATTTTATTTAGCTTATAAAATAGGTCTCCATATGACTTTTCACGCTTCCTTAGTGTTGCATAGCCCTCCCTGCAGATTCTCCCAATTCTTCCACGCTTACCCATTTCTCCCTCTAGGATCCACTTTCCTAGAATGTTCTACTTCCTCCTTCCTTTAAACACTGTATCTGGTCATGTCAGGGACACAGTAAAATATTTACTCAAGGAAAAGAAGAAGCCATTTACCTCTCAACGAGGCTTGCTTTGAGAGTTGTTTAATGTCATTACCAGCTTCACTGGTAAAAAATATTCACATGGTACCTGGTGTCTGAGAGCTTTAGGAATCCACTTGAAAAGAGAAAAAAAAAATTCTTTAAAAAGTCTCTTCATTAGTGCAAACAGAATCTAAGGCTTTTTAGAAGAAGCAATGAATTAGTTAACTGTTTCCAAAATCTAGGATGTTTTAGGAACTTTCATACTCGATAATAAACTTCCTACAGATAAGAGTTTTTAGCAATGAACTACGTGTTCTGATTGATTGAAATGAGACCCTGAATTTATGGTTCCAATTATTAAGAAAATGTAGGATCTTCTGTCTGAAATGTTGAAGGAAAAGGTGGGTTGAATTCAGGTCCTCAGACTTGGTGGCAAATGCCTTTACCTGCTGAGCCATCTTGCTGGCCTGCTTTGACATTATTATAAGGGACAGCCTTATTGTTCCCCTCTAATCCATTCTTGGCAAAGTAAGAGCTCTTGAGAGTGTTCATAAAGTGCAAATCTGGACCCTTGGCTCCCCTGAAAATCATGCAATAGCTTCTCATTGTCCTTTGAATACCAACCAAACTCCTTACCATGCATTTCAGTACCCAGCATACTCAGCAGTCCTTCACCTTCCTTCACAAAGCGGCTCCCTCTCCAACTCAGCTCATTGTCTATGACTCCATTCCTGCTTAAAGACTATTGGGGTCCAGTCTTTAATAGTCTTTTCCCCAGAGTTCCAGAAGAGACACTGCTAGCGGTGAGAATTAATCTGAGGGATACGCGAATGAATCTAAGTACACCGAGCTCTTTAGTCTATACACTTTATTCTTCTAAGTCAGAATCTCTCTACACAGCTTCAGTCCTGTTCTCATACTTAGCTCCTCTCTGTCCCTTCCTCTCCTGTCCTCTCATTGTTCTAAGTTCTTTCCGTCTTTGTTCCTCATCTTAGTTCTTTCATCATCCTAGGTTTGAATTCTTACAGAGTCATAAAGGCAGA